AGTAAATCCGAGAGAGGGAGCCTCATATTTCTTGGAATTAGCTCGTCCGCACAAGCGAAATCAACAACTCCTCCTCTATACCCTACTTCCAGCCCGGCGGAATGGCCTCTTGAAAGAGGAGGTGGAAGAACGAGGCTCTGAGTCGCGGGGTGGGCGCGCCGAAAGGAGCCGGGTTAAAGTCCACCGCGCACGCGCCGCGGCTGCGTCGCCTTCGTTCTGCTGCCCGCACAAGGCCCTCGGCCGATGCGGTTCTCTGGAGGGGTTCGACTGAGACGGCGTTAATAAATGGCTTTGTGATATGTAAGGAGACGGCGGTGGATGTTTGAACCCTAAGAGGTTTAGAGCTCTATCACTCGTTTTGTTGGAAAAGCCGACCGGTGTGCCTTGGGGCTGCCGGGTCTGTTAGCGGCCATAATTTATTTCTTCTTGTGTTGGAAAATCTAGAGCGGTTCGGTTTTATTCGTGATGGATGCTAGGGTGGCATGATGTTTGTGCTATAATGCTGAGTGGAGGACAATATCGCCTGTGACAGAGATGTGGTCAGCGGCGAGCTGCAGAGCTCGTTTGTCGGGAGCGCCTCTGTCCGTCGTTCGTAATGAGCTCCCCTTCGTCCAATTCGGCGGCCGCAACGCCGCCGGACGGCGCAGCAGCGGCCAGGCGGTCTGGCCTTCGCCCATTTAGCCAATCGGCGCGCGCCGATTCGCCTTGCCGACTGGCCGTTCACTAGCGCGAGTTGGTCTGCTTTTCGATGGCCCAGCGCACTCCGCCCTAGTAATTCGTTACTCAAAATTTATTGTTGTGTTCGCACCGACTGGGAAAGTTCCCAAACTCCCACTGAACAATGTTGCGAATTCATGGCTTGAGTGATTTCAAACATATCTATTTCACTTTTTTAAAAAATCAATTGGTAGTTCCGATGAATTAGCTTGTGAGGAATAATAAAGCAATGAAAACGAAATTATAAAACATACTGAAGACCAAATTGCGAGTATTCGAGCCTTTCAGACGCTCCTGAAACAATTTATTTGGAATCCATGTTTATCCATTACACTAACGAAGTTGAAATTCAATCTTTCATGTTAGTTTTTAATTGCTTCTGAAATGTCCTGTAAATAGCAATAAACACTAAAATTGCATCACCACATTTGAAAAATGATATTATAAAAATGTGTTCAAATTTCTATTTCATTTACTCATTGTAATTAGACTAAGTGGACGATCTTGAATGTGACACAACCCACCAACAATGATGTCCTTTTACATCTCAGAGAAGGACATATAATATCAAAATCCATCTTACTATTTCATATTGATTTCTTATGATTGCCGTATGATAATAGAATCTCAAAGAGATAGGAGAGAGTGCAGTTAGAAATTGTAAATGTACCTAGAAATCTGTCATCGAATATTCTTTAATTCTGAAAACCGAAGCTGACTGCACGCTCGCATACAATCCCGCGGAACTTATTCAGTCGACAGTCCTGAAAAATACCGCGCAGGTGTCAGTGTTAGATGTTTAATCCGTGGACTGACAAAAATCCCACTGGGAACAGTCAGGCGGGTTCATACTTCTAGAACAGCGCGATGTGACAGCTCAACAATAAACCATGCTTTCGTCGGACGCCCGCTTCCCCTCATTCCACAGTAAAGCATTTATGTATCCGCTTGTGTTGTTCGCCCGTCATCCCCGAAACCCGCCTGCACAAATTTTAACTGGCGCCGTACCCGTGGGCCGCTCCGCTTCGTCTTCTTATTTCTATTCCAAAAAGTTCGGATTTTCCCTGTTTCTGATTTTGCGCTCAGGTGGATCATGGGTAACCAGCTTCAACAAAACTATTACTTTTGTTACTATTTCCGTTTCTTCATTTTCTTACATCCATTTTTAATTCCCGTTTCCTCTCTTCTCTCATTGACGGTTTCCCTTTCCTAAATAAACGCCCTTCGCATCATTTTCACCTCTTCTTTTGCCGTCTCCTCGACTTCCCACATCGTATCCCGTTCTATCTCTCTCTCCCCCTTCTCTCGCTCTCTCTCTCTCCTCTTCTCTCTCTCTCCTCTCTCTCCCTCTCTCTTATATATTTTATATATATATATACCTATATATATATTATAATGTATACATACTATTGGTAGAAGAGAGATGGAGAGAGAGAAAGAAAGACTTTTTAGGAAAGAAAGATGAGAGAGAAGAGATAGAGAGAGGGATTCACTTCACTTCTTTCATAACATTTTGCCGTTTTTAGTCTCGTTCTCCCTTCCTCTTTCGTAGTGCCTTCTTTTGTCCCAATCAATGCAGCTAACGATGACGCCCAAGTGTCATTTTCTATTCTCTCAATCCTTCATTTCTGATCTAGAAACGATCGTTATTTAGACGTCTGTGCTTACTATTTGAATATTGAAGTTCATTATATGATCCATCTTTGAAACTTAAACGAACTCTGTTGTTAGCGTGCGCTCCTTATCCGAACTGCCATAATAAAAATTTCCGCGGCCGTCTGTGCCGCTTTAGTTCGCGCCGCTCCCTCCATCACTCGTTCTCGCTCGGCGTCCTGGCTGCGGTTGCAGGGCGCTACGGCGTTTCGGTTTCGGCCGCGTGCGGCATGCATAATGCAGCCGCGCGCCGGCGTGGGGTCGGTTTGGGGGGTTGAAGGGCTAGTCGCGTGTCGTTATTTGAAGTCGCTCGACGGATGCTGTGCGGTCGCCCTCCAGTGTCGACTGGCGGCGGGCTCTCGGCGGGCACTAGCAGCCCTAGCGACGTATGTCGCTCCGGTGCTCCACGGTATACGTCGACGCCTTTCTGTTGTGTTTTCACCTCTACTGGCGGCGCTCACGTGTCTTGCGCTTGCATTTTTTTTATAGCCGTTGCTGATGACGTAATAAATGATGTTTGATTGATTATGTGGGTTCAGACTCTGCCTACTGGTGTGATACAGTTCTAACCGTCTTGTTAAGAAGGTAATCGCATTTTACTCGCGTTGGCGTCGCCGCTTGGGATGGGGGGTCTCCTCAATAATTGTTTTGTGTGTGAGATGTGTTGGATGAACCACCATTTTTGTAACATATCTTTTTTATTGAAACGTTCCTTTTTCCCCTCCCTCCTCCGCCGCCCCACAATAATTTGTGCTCTCAGTGTACGACCATTGAGTTTATCAGTAATTGTACTGTTCCTGTTGAGTGCTTGTGATTATGCTGTTTAATACAATCGCATTAAAGTCTCTTTTTCCTTCCTAACCTAACGTACTATTTCCCTCTTTGTTTCTTTTGTACCTCCAACAACCCAATTAATGTGCCTACATCTCTAGCTATTTGATCTTTGGCTCTCTTGAGAAAAATTTTCTACTTCGTTAATAGAATTTTTTTCTAAAATAAAACTTTGTAATAGTGAGAACTCATAACACGAAATCACTACTTTGTTGAAGATAATGTACTATAATTATACATTTGCAATAATATTGTTTCTATGATAAGACATAAATATATGTTTCAAGATAACCTATCTTTATTAATGTGATAACAATTCTGTAAACGGTGGAAAAATGGATCTCTTATTTACCGTATGATATCCTGATCTTCTACCATTTGAGCATTATACATAGACTTTCACAGTCCGATATCAAACATCGCCAACCTCATCGTTTTTAGACCAATGGATAAGCTATTACTCTCACTTAAACATATTTTGTCATGCAAATAGTCTTTGCCCGAAATATGCGAGTGCCAGTAAGTCATTTATTAATGCCTCCGAATCTCAGTATGACTTTCCGGCATCACCCACCAATTTGCGATTTTAAGAGACAAATTGTGCACAGAAATGTGACTGAGTTATCTCTCGAGAGTGAAGTCATGACTCTAGGTTTCCAATTTACTACTTCGTTTCATTTATTTTATTCTTAGCATTAACAAAAATTTAAGCACAATTCATTCTGTTTCTTTTTTTCTGTTTCTCATTTACGCGAAGCTGTGTTCTATAAAATCTATTTTTCTTTTACTCCGCTCGTAAAAAAAAAATGTTTATTCACAACCTTCTCCTATATAATTTATATCGGATTCCTCCCACAGCCATGATCAGAATAACCTCCTAGTACTTCTAATTGGTCCTTCGTTATAATCTGTGACTGAAACATTATAATCTGAAGATACACATCGTTGCTGTTTGCTCATTCGAATGATAGAGAATCTGCGGCCGCGTCCCCTTCCGTTTGCGTGGGCACAGGACAGGTTCTGCTCTCCTCGCCCGGGCGTCTTCGAGAAGAAGATTTCCTTAAACGTGAGCGGAATTCTCCCCAAATTCCACATTGACTGAGGCCCGTGGCGCGCCAGGGGCCGCCCGGCCGTGGTACGTATCGCTCTCATTCTTGTCGCCGTGTGCGTTTTCGCTCCGGCGCGCCCCGCGCGCTATCACTCAGTCTTGTCTGGCGCGGTGCGCGCGCGGCGTGGCCGTGTGGAGCTGCCCTCCCCTCTCCCGGGCGGGTGCCCTCCATCTTTTTTTGTTAACGGGCGAGCCGTGTTGCGGTTTCGAGCAGGCGTGGCGATCTGGTTATTAGAAAGTCGGGTGCGGTTAAGCGCGCGCGAACGTGACTGGGCGTGGGTTCGTTTGAAGGGGGAGGCTGGCGGTTTGTAAGGTATGGGCCTGCAAAACTGTGTTGTGCTCTTTTGTGTGCAGGGTAGGACGTTGGAGGCGGGCGTGGGCGGGAGTCCCCGGACGCGATGCTGGCTTATTGGGAACATTTCTCCCGAAGTAACAACACTTTGGTATTCTTAGGAGGCGACACGTGTGTCGAGATAGAGTGGACTACGCCCCGAGGATTGGGATAAGGATTGAGGAATAGGGCACGGAAGCGGAGCGAATGGATGAGAGGACGAGAGGCGGTCGAGAGAAAGCTGCGGACACGGGCGAAGTTTCAGTCTGCAGGAGACCGTGGCGTGGCTAATGGTGTAGGGGCGTCTCGTAGGATGGGCGGGATGAATAGGACTTAGGAGAACTCCTCGAGCAGCGCGAGATGAGTCGACTCGGCGCAAGACTGCCGGAGAGGATAAGGGCTTCTGACATTGGACATCTCTCCACGTCGCAGTATAACGTTCGACCAGAGGCAGAGACAACATCATCGTCCACAGCACAAAGACCGACCGGGTCGCCTCGAGCCTGCGGCCGCCTCAGAAGCTCGATGGCGGCCAGGCACGTGAGACTCGGTTTTCGGCTCCGACTTCATGCGGTTTCCACCTATCAGACTGCCGCTCGCACCTCTCTCTCTAAACAAACACGCGACACTCTTCGCAATCAGTGTGTAAAACACGCGCATCTTTCTTTTGGTGCTTACATGCAAAATGACTCCATACTCTTTCATTTCGCTCAGTGTTCACAACGACTCTGCGATCCCAAAACACACATCTTATATACACTGTATGGCAGTATATTTGCTCTCCTCGCATACATGGTGTCCTCATGCACCCTCATAATATAATGACATACTCTCCTCTATCTCTATAATATTATCAGTGTCTACTACGAGAGGGATACACAAACACCGGAGCTCCAGCAAGATTCAGAAAATATCCTTATCTAGTCTGACGCCACCACATCTGTTTAAGTTGTCTGGAGAGTTACGGCCTTCCTTCCACTACTTCTTCTCTTCATATTTCTAGAAATAAGGATATAAAAAGCATTTACTCCTCCACATTAGCTGCTGAAAAAAGTAAGGACATTCTGCGCAGAAGAATTATGAGATCAAGGTTTTACTAAATAACATTACTTATTGTTTTTTGAGATGAGGAACATCATGATGGAAGTTCCATAGTTAACAAATTCAATATGTTCAATGCCTTTCTTTCGAGATATGTTTGATAAATTGCACCAGATAGATAATGTTTAAGAAAAAATGACCGTTTCACAATTGCATGTGTTTTGAAAAACCTATGTTCCGTGATCCAGTGCAATCGATTTTTGACCTCAAATAGTCACCAAATAAATACATACCATGACTATTAAATTATAGTATAGCAGCTTTACGTAAAAGATATAATTAATCGTTAATCATTGAAGCATTGAACTTGATAACGAGTTGAAGCGCCACGAAAGAGAATGAGAATTGGGGGACCCACATTTAACGAAATTTTTATTTCTGCTGAACGAACAAAGAAATTATGGTTGATGGAAAGTCATCACTCAGATGATTTTTTCCTAATTTTAAGAGGCCATTCATTTGCAGTGCTATATTTGGGTGGCTGGAAATGTCGCCAAATTTTTTCTAAACGAATAATACTAAAAGACTCGTATGTTTTTTCGAAGTTTGA